ACTCCAAATTCCAAGCTTTGTTTGTAGTACATGATAGTTGTGGGGGAATGCTATATCCAATGTTGAGACCTGAGGAACAGCGTAAGGGCCAGCAGTATAAACGTTTTGGACAATCTGTTTTTAAACTAACTATCACCAAGAAGATTACCTAATGAAGCTCAGAGTCGACTAATTTACTTGGTTCTGTACTCATTTTACTTTAAGCATACATTATACTATGCCCCGGATTTGTAGAACCTGTTCGTTGTTTGTGAATTAGTAGACCTCATTAGCTCGCGTTCCGATACCGTTGTTTTTCTGCGATCACTACGGTTGTTTAAGAGCGCTCACGATAACTCTGAGTTCAAACAAAGACGTCTCGGAAATCAACGCCAGTGCAAGATTCTATGGTGATTTAGACTGGCTATTTTCACTGATTTAGGATGTTTTACATCCAGTTTCTTTCGAGCCTTTTTGTTGCAAGGTGCTTGTTGTCGATCTCTCTCCCTGCTGATAACCATTCGCGACCTCCTAATTGACCCCCGAGCCTGACGGGGACTCTGACAGATCGCTATTGATTGCTCCTGTTTTTGACATCATTTTGGATTCTTTTAGGATATGCTCATATAATTGTTCGAACATAAAACGACTGCAGCAAATTGGTTTGTTTTGAAACGTTCATTTTCCTTTCCTTTTAATTATTTTTCGATGATTCTGTGAGCCATAGGAAGAGCGAACTAAGGATTAGACATTTCTAAAAAATTCTACTGAAATCCTTGGAATTTCCTGAATACTTTCCAACACGAGCACTACTAAACACAAGTTTTTAGTAAAACTCAAAAAAGATCATAGCAAAGATGTGTAACGGAAGATAAGGCAAGATGAAATTTCTATCTGGTTTTGGGTTGACTCATAAATCTATTAGATCGTTTTGAAACCTGTAGTAACAGTTAGTTGGTTTATTCCACTGGTACAGAAGTAATTAAGTGGTTTTGAATATCTACATTTTGCCGTTTTACCGTTCGTGTTGACCGCAATTATTGCTGATTGTTGGCAACACTGGTTATTGTGTCCTTGAGGAGAACTGATTCGCACTGTCCATTCGATTATTACGTATAAAGAAACGATTCTCGTCGGTATCTCGATTGTTTATTTGGAACGTTTTCACCTTTCGCGGTCAGCATTAACGTTACTAAACAAGTGATTCATATTCGAAATCCTACGGGACAGCCTCCAACCCCCTTTTTGTACAATAACCGCCGTTTTGGTACAAGGCGCGGTGGCTAAAATTCCCTTCTCCTTTCCTAGAGAGATCTGTAAAGCGATTTGTTGCCGTTTACAAGGACATCAGACGATTAGAGCAAGGTTAAGGCGGCTGACCCGTTACCAGGCGGCTTTCTTCTTGGCTTGGTTTCTTTGGTACGTGCGGTATGTAAGAGATAGAATATCAAAGGTAACTTGATGCATTCACGATCTCACTGATTGCCGTTCTTTCATCGTTCGTAGTTGCCAATCTCGATGACAGTATACGTTTCGTTTTTTGCATAAATTGTTGCAATTGTATGCATTGGTCGGGTTCTACGTTTTAATCGAAGTGTTTACGATGTAATACTTTTTAAGATATTTGAATAGTATTACCATAGCTTTCATATCATCAAGGAATTTTCATCTCTATGGTACAGCTTACTGATCTAAAGACGGGTTCGCACCTTGTTCTTCAGGTTCAGGCGTGGCGATTGTAGATTTGGGTTTTTCTTTCTTACCTCCTTCCTTTCTTAAACTTACATCTTCTCCCCCCCCACCCCCTCCTCCACCTTTCTAGAACCCACGACACCGTTGGCCACCTTAATTACGGCTTGCATACCCCTCTTTTCTCCCTTCCACCCCGCCTATCGTCGCCATTGTTTATATTAATTACTGAAAAGAGGGCTAAGTGCTCTTTCCAATTCTTATGTGATACTTCTGTCTTTCTTTATTTGAACGTGCGCAGTGGGGCACTTTTGATCACATCTCTCCGGTGTGTTACTTTTTTATTTGTCAAAAGTGGTTTGAATGTGGATAGGTTTGAGTCCAGTTCCAAATATTTTTTACCATCCCGTAGTTTTGTTTTCAAGTTAACCACGTCATCGTCTGTTCGCATCCTGTCTCGACTTTCTGAAGTATTTGTCGACTTTCTTGTCTTGCCAACTTGTTTGTCTTGAAGTTCGTATGCATTTTCGAGCCTCTCGTTCTCAACTCTTTCAAGATCTCAGAAGATGCAGTGAGCTTCTCAGTCACACTTTGTCTTTAGTTCTCTTTTTTTATCTACCTTTGTCTATCGTTAATCATGGTGATTTGTGCAGAGCTCCTTTACAGCTCTTGTTTCTGAAGCGCTCATGTAAATAAATGCAATGGAATGACGATTTTCGAGAACCTCTATTTTTTTCCACAAAGGTGCCTCCGTAGTATACACGCTCAACAATCCTGGTCCCAGATTAGCCGTTTGGTGTTTTTCTCAAACGGCAGGCTCTCTGGAAGCATCATGTTTCTGCAAAAGCGTGGATGTGGGTGTTTGAGGTTGAGATGAATCTCACGATCTAAAGATTAATTGTGTAGTTTCTTTGTGTGTACGAGCCTGTGAGATTTTTTTCCACACTACGAGTGGTTTTGTAGGGCACCCAGCTACATCAATAAATCTTGAAAAAGTGCCGCTGACGAGCAACCTCAGTGTGATTCTCCTTCAACCAGTGAGGTCGGGTGTTGTTGCGGTCTGCTATGGGCGTCACATGGGAGAAGAGCTTGAATAGGATTGTAGTAGTGTAACATAGAAGCAAATATGATCGTCCACGCAAGGCTAACGGGATCTATCTGCACCCGTTAAGCTAGTAGGACCCCTGCCCCTTTATTGACTCACCTTTGTTCCCAGTTCCTATTTTTCTCGTCCTACTCCGCTTCACCTCATCTTCGCGTTCAATTCATTGAGTTTTTCGGCAATTATAAATATTAATGTCCCGAATGGCCACGATGAGAAAAAGCAACCGACTTTTCCATTAAATTCTCAAAATTTCACGAAGTTACTGGATTCCTGAAGACTTTACTAATCTCCCCAAGTGCCTAGTACTCTAATTAGATTCCATCTTCTAGGAAATGCATTGGCAGTACCACCTAGCGCAACCGACTTTCCTTCAGAAACCCAAATACGACCATCTATTGGGGCATTCTCAGCGCTCACTCACTCTGCTCCCACATTTTATCAGTAATTTTTTATTTAGTTCTATGGACGCGCATATGAACGAAATGGGCATTTAACATCACGTGCTTGAGTGGATCTACCCGAATGCGATAAACACCATGAAAAGGTGGATACCAGAGCACACTTAGACGTGTTCGTGGCTTCATTGGTCGTTGTCCCTCTTTTCCCTCTATGCATTGTCGTCGTTTCCTTTTCGAAATGCATTTGTTTCCTTTAAGGGAACTGTTTGTGAGGATATGCCGACGTTGGATTCACTATTTTTTCAACAACTATAAAATTGATCTTTTCGGCTTATATTCGTTTAATTTTTCACAGATTTCGAACACATCGTGTAAGTCGAGCTTCAGTCAGTCTTTCATAGGTTTACCCTCAATTTCTGTTTCGGAAAGTGACCGATTTTTTTTTCATTTCAAACGAGCATCTGCCTGATAATTGCTGTCCAAAGCAATTGAATGCTTTATTACAATCATGATATTCGCCTACCTACATGTGTGCTGGCTGGCAGCTTTCGATGCGCGCCTTCGCCTCATATTTTCTATCGGCACTTCAAGTATCCTTGGTGTCCTCTGCGATCCCGTGGGCGACGTGGGGTCGATACACATACGTGCCGGCTGACGTAATTTGCATATTGGTCAGTTGAGCATTTCCTTCCCAGCATCAGTAATTCAGTTGTGAGGGTTCCACTTAAGATTGTCTTCTCCCTAATAGACTGTGGCACTTGATGGCATCCTGAAGTACAACGTCGCCTCGACGACTTCGTTAATGAGTGAAGTGTGATTTGATTTTCTCTCACTTTGATTAATCGCGTCGTATCGCGGCGGGCGCTCGCGATTTCGCTGAGTTTCGTTGTCCTTTTTGTTCTCGCCAATATCGGCCTTATCTTTTTGCCAAGCGCCAGGTGTCAACGTCAGGTCAACTGGCGCCATGAAACTTGCAGAGACACAGCGAGCCTTCTCTCTTTTGGCTCTCGGAATCTTTTTCTCGTTGTTCTTTTTTTTATTCTCAGTTTTAGCGCTGCACTCTGGGAATTATGTTGATTGGATTCGTTAGCGGATCTTGCTCACCGGAGCTCTTTCTTGAATTCTCTGAAGTGCCACGCCCAAACCACTATTATTCTTTTCAATGGATGGTTGGTAGGTTCCAACCGGGTGGATAGGCGCATAGGCCTAGTACCCGGTCTCAAGGTTCATTATGTGGTGTCTTGTGTTTTCGGAGATAAATCAGTGGTTGTGCTCTGTCGTCGGCTCTCGGATGGGCCAATAGCCTTCTCTCGATTTTATTACTTCTCTACTGCTACTCTTTGGATGGGTGTATTCTGTCTGGACACCCCTTCAATCCATTATTAATGTTAATGTATTTCTAGATTTGTGTGGAATGCAGTATTGCCTTTTTATGAATTATAGACTGAAAGGGCTGTGAGGAATGGTAGCTCCGTTCGGTGTTGAGGAAATTTCACATGTTTTGTGCTAGGGTTCTACCCGTGTTTACTGCTTTAAATAGAATCTGCTCAATCAACTCAGTCGCTGATATCTGATTATTCAAGGAGAGCGGAGAATTCAATTTCCATTTGATTGTTTTGCATACAACTGTTGCGTCATCAAAACAACACCTCTATAGCAGTAGGTGAAGAGCTCAAATTGGCTTGAGTATTTAATTTGAGCCACCTATCTGGTAAAAGGTGGTAAATTGAGTCAAATTCGACGAACTCTCACCGTACAATGTCCATTCGGTCTCATGTCAATTTAGTTTTTTCGTGTGTATTTTCGGGTTTTAAGCTGTGCTCTCGCCAATGTTTACTCTGGCTGCTCGTAAGCACAAACGTAAGGTCAGCTGCGGCGGCGATGGTTGTGGCGGTGACGATTGTTCGTCTTAGTGCAGATGTTCGCCCGCTGTTTAACTATGCAAATTGCAGAATCCGTTTGTCACATGCATGTCCTCCCCGGTTGCTATGCGCGTGGCAAGTTCGTGAATTCGTAACGAGTTACCTATTGTTTTCGGAAAGTACGCGAGAGCAAGCACTTTCAAGTCCTTTTTGTGCACGCCTTTCAACGTGAATGGCGTGAGTGTCGTAACATTTGAGTGGATGTAAAACGACAACGCGCTTCCCTGGGGGACGTTGCCGCTGACCCTCAGATGCCCATTCGTATGCGCACGCGCCGGCTGTCTCTAATTGCGTTTAAGTTCGGCGAAAGATGTTTCGAGCTGTTTGTAAGCTATAGCGGTCTTTTGTGACTGGTTTTTGTTCACTTAATTTTTTTATATAGTTTAGCCACGCTCACTGAAACGCCGAGCTCAGAGGCTGTTTTGTGCCTTTTAAGGTTATATTCGAATCGAATTGTTATTTTATTCAAGAGTACAGCATTAATTTGGGGCGGTTCAATTAGTGGTCTACAGTTGACTTAGGGTCGTGAAATACGCTTAGATGTTACTATCAGTGATGACGTTCGAACCCACCTTTTCACAAGAGGGCTATGGTCTCAATATTCTTATTCATAAAGATAGGACGCTACTTGTGTTTCCCTGGAAGACGACTATCACGCGGTATTAGTATTAACTAAAGAATCAGTTGCTGCATTGCTGGTCTATCAATTCCATTTTAGGCTTTATCTACCTGTCGAGGTGATGTTGATCAACACCTTTATGCGGTAATGCCTATGTGGGTCACTTAGATCTAAGGCCATATCTGACTCATCAACTTTGGTAGATAGCTTCCTATAAACAATAATCGAATATTCCCTTTTAGCTATAGTGCTGTTGGGATTGCTTGGTAGTTTACAAAGAGTTCATCGGAACAGTGAGGGCGATTTTTTTCTTTTTTTGATTAATATTTCTCTCTATGTTGTCTCTGTCTTCGGTACTTCTCATTTCTTTCTTCAAAAATCCAGCTCAATTTTTCAAAATTCCAGTTCTGCCTCTAAACCTCCTTCGTAGGTTGCTGAAATCGAGGTTTTTTGTTTACTTCGTTTGATCATGTTCCTGTTGTATTTACTAGTTTTTCACAAATAATCCATATACACACTCATAGCTATCAAATTTGAAATTAGTGTAGGTAAGAAAACTGCTCGTACTATCTCCGTGTTTTCTTTTCTATTTTGGGTCGAAATTCACGGGTAACAAGCTCGCAGCAATCTCGTTTGTAACTTGTCGCGCACCTGAAAAACTCGGACCTCTGCAATCAAAGGCTTATTCCAGATTGATGACCATATAAACGGAGCGTCTCCATAATAAATGCAGAAAGACGAACGGTCGACGAGGAATGCGACGTAGAGATGAATTGGCGTAGCCATCTATTCCTATTGCTACATCTGGTAGCACTAGATACAGTATTAGTATTCGCTCGAAGGGACCCACAAGGACAAATTCCGTTCGTATTCACTGCCAAATTATATAATGTGTCATTAGAAGAGAACGCTCCCGGTACGGAATCGCGCGCGGTCATCTGATCATGTACGTATCGGCGTTCCGTTACCACATAGTGATGCGACTGTCAAATTTCAAAATTGTCGAGGTATGCTGAATTCCTATTTGTTCTAGGAGTTGAATTCCTGAATAGATATGAATTTTCCACTATGATGTGTTTCTATGGAGATCGACAGCATCACTTTAAAGCACATTCCCGTCAAGTGGGAGATTTTGTATTTTTACGTATACGACAAAAAGATCGAATGGACACGGAAACGCGTAACAGAGAACTGAAGGTGAAGTCTTGATCTATTCAATTTTTTGCTCTCTTTGTTTATTTTGTTTTGTTGTTTTTTTTTTATTTCAAAGATATGATATTACTTTGTCGAGGTTATTACTCATGTCGAACTTCTACTCCTATTTATGACTGACTGAGAGGTGAGGGCGCAGTTCACTGGGACTGGAGCGACGTTTTCGCGTTCCGCAGCGCGCCGCATTTTTCGCAGCGGGAAGCTCAGCTTTACCGCTGATCATGAGCCTGGAGCTCTCGCTGCGAAAAATGGTTTCACGTGCGACGCGCAGAAGGTCGCGTTCGTCCCTAAGAACAACGCGTGAGTCTTTGTGAGATTTAGCTGCTCCGAACCGTAGTCTGGAAAATTCCAGATGTAGACTATTAGATATCAGTGAATTGGGGAGATGGTTGCCTTTTCAATGTTTTCAATAGCTTTCCCGCGTATATCCTCTCTGTCTTACTCTCAGACTTCTGTACCCTTCTTCAAGTTCTTTTTAAGCAGCCGTGGCCAGTTCATTAAAAAAAATGTCCACATGCTACTTTCTGAAAAAAACAACAAAATGTTCTTTCTCATTCTAGTGTTTTAATTACGCAGCAGATTCGAGAAGAAAAGGTGGATTCTATGAGCCTCTGCAAACCGGTTCCCGCTTGCTTAGATCTTTTCCTCTTCAATTTTGTTCTTGTTTGCATTACAAAATTGTCTCCAAAGAAAAGTCTCCGTAAAGAAAGATTTGCTTTAATCCGAGGCGCTGCGTACATTAATCGAAGATGAACGAGTTTTTTTTTAGGACCACTATGATTTCCTGGTGAAGGCCACGTGTCGTCAAAAAGAGGCTGGTAATTTGGAAGCGACTGCGAAAGTCCGTCTGACAATAACTGATCGTAATGATGCGATGCCGATTTTCACACTTGAAGCGGATCAGTATGAGGCGACAATTAGTGATCAGGTATGGCGAGGTTTACCTGAATTTGACCGTTCCGACCTGTTCCAATAAGAGGTTGTAGACTGCTCCTTTCACTGATGTGATCCGAGTCGAAGCTTCTGACGCTGATGAAGGTATCAATGGTCAGATCTACTACTCGTTAGTGAATCGTTCGGCGGATTTCACAGTCGATCCCATATCAGGTACTTTCAGAATTGCTTGCATTCATTATAAAAACGACACGTCTTATGCCATACTTCAGGTTGGATTCGTACGTTACGACATCTAAGAAGCGGTGTTTATCAGTTGAAAGTGCGCTCTGAAGACCGAACCTCACGGTTGTTCTATAACGACCCCGACCAGATTCAACCGGCTTGGTCGAAGGATGTGGTGGTATGTTTAGTGTTCGAGTTCTCTTAAAATTTTTTTCATCATGTGTGTGTAGTGGTGATGATTGCTCTCTCTTTAGATTACTGTAACCGAGTCGAAACGTCGTCATCTGAAGTTATTGGTGGCGAACAAGCCCATAAACGGTTATCGATCGGATGTTCAACAATTAGCTAGCTGCAACAATCCGGGTAGATATTCCGTCAAACGAGGCATCGACAAGTGGACCAATTCATGTGGGAGTGGTGGAAGACGATCTTAAGCACTGGTTTTCTTTAGTGGAGAGCGGAAATTTGGAATGGCAGTTGTACACGGTAAGTGAATAAAAGAGTTGCACTTTTTTGAAATTGAAATGGAATCCTCAAGAATTTCTGGCCTTTGTGATAGTTGCTCTTAACAGTTTGCCCTAACAATTTTCCTGCTAAGAAATTGTGAGATGCTTGCTGACTTCAAAGCCTTGCAGGCCTTTTCCCAAAATTCGCGAAGGATATTAAAACGTTTAATATCTCAAGCAAAAATTGCTGGCGAAAAAAACTGGGCTTTATTGTAGATTTATTATCAGACCTCTTAGGGGGTTTTTCAATAGCATTTTTCGGCTGACATTTGGGTAGATCGCCTCCTCAGAGTGAGTAGGGTTCATTTCTTGAAAGTTTATTTCTTAGACGTTATTTTTCGTTGCCTTTGAGCTTGGCATAGATAAAATGAGACTAGTATGTTCTGATTCAGGCATGTATGTTGTGAAAGGCGCTGAATTTTGAAATGACCTTTCATCTGCACAATAAATGAGGTACTCGTCTTTGAATCTTTTTTAAGAATGCTAGCTTCTTTGCTTAGGCTATGAGATCAGACAGACAGTTAGCGCCTCTTGTATTTTGAATCTAGCCGTTTTAAATTTACGTAAACTGGAGTGCTCGAATATTTTTTTTTCTCAATGTTCTTGCAGTTTTCATTCGTTAGGAATTGCACGATTGCTTTTGTTAGATATTACCCTATCGATTAACAGGTACCGGGTCGTTTCATCCCATCCAAAACAAACGTCACTATATCGGCTGGACAAGAGTCGATCTCAAGTGGCATGGTCAACACGACGGCGAATATCAAGGTGACTAGAGTTTGCCGTGGTCGAGTGTTATGTTTACTGTGACTTTTTGGCTAGTGAATGATGCTTAAGATCGAAGTTGGTGAGCCGCATTCGATTGTATTTGACGATGCAGCAGCCACGTTCCACGTGAATGAATCCGCTCCGCTTGGTTACGTGATCGGAAAAGTGTCGGCTAGCGCATTGTACAAACAGGATGAGAAAAATATTAGGTTACTTATTTTTACATCCTTTTCGTATCCAAATACTCTCCAGCGATATCTTCAGTGCGCTGAAATTAGTGCGATTTCACGGTATATTGAAATGAAGAGATATGCGACCCGGTGCCCTTTGAAGTGTCCGAGAAGACTGGAGTGTTACGGGTGGCCCAGCTACTAGATTATGAAAAACAAAGGGAATATAGTTTCAATATACTAGGAAAGGTTGGTTTTTATTCAGTTGTTTGCCTCCACTTTTTCTAAATTTTATAGCTCATTTATTTTATACCCCAGCCTTGGCACCCTTACATTTGTGTTTTGAGGTGATCATGCTACTTTACCTGAGATATTACCTGTTTAGCTTGCTGGTTTTGGTGGTCAGAGCTCTATAGTTGTGACAGTATCCATAAAAGATTCGAATGACCATTCACCGGTTTGGCTGCCAAGTGGAGTCGCCAAGGCCCAGTGGTTGTTCCTAATGGTACTACTGTTGGCACAGTTCTTCTGAAGGTAACTCACTCTTTTGTTATACGTTTTGAAAGGTCTTGCTTTTTGTGAGAGGTGACCTATTTGCCGAATGGTCGTACTTCAGGTTGACGCCGTCGATTTGGATTCCGGCGAGAATGCGCGCATAGGCTATAAATTATCGTCGGATTCTCAAGTGCCGTTTGCTGTCAACTTTGAAACTGGAGAGGTAATTCGCTCGCTCGTGTGGGATGGTGTTCATTGAAGTTTTTTGTGTCCATTCTTTTCGTAACTCATCAATTAGTGGTCATTTTGTTGTAGATCTCATTGTCGGCTCCTTTGAAAGCGGGCGATAATGAATGGAGTGTGGCTGTATGGGCAGTGGATGCTGGGCGACCTTTACCAAGATCGACGGTGTTAAATCTAGTTTTTTATCGGAACGGAACGAAGGTGAGACAAAGCTACTGCGGTTTTTCTCGTGGGTTGTAGGATTTTTTAGAATGTTTCACTGCTTTCCGACGCTTGAGCAATTACAGAAGAACCTGCTTCGCTTTTGAGGGGAAGAATTATCACTAGATGATCGAAATTATATTTTATACGATGAGAAAAATAAAAACAGAAACCCTGTAGGTTATGTGTCTTCTTTTATAGTGGGAATTGAAAACGGCAGAAAGGGGCAAAGTTGATCTGCTCGTTTTTTTCCTCCGCTTTTCCTGAAAGTCCTCATCCTAACGGTTCGGCCGCGCTGAATTAATATAGCAATTTTGAATTCTTAGGCAGTTGGAGACTGTCAAAGAAACTGAGAAATGATCTCAAGTGAGCAGTCTGACCAGTTCTAAATGTTCAGGTACCAGCAAAACCCAAACCAGTCATTGGAGCCGAACCAGTGAACAAACACGAGCCGGTGTTCGAGGATTTCCATGGACCTGTGGAGATTGAAGAGGATGTCGCTATCGGAACGGTGAGTTTCCTTGCGTAATGCGCTGCCCAAAACAGCGGCCAGCCAACGTGACCTGGGCATACGGTATTGTTGGATAGGAACGACAGATGGTAAGTGGCATAGTAACAAGCAGTGCAGCCCGTCGTGTTTTATTGCGTTCACGCACAAAGATGCCACTGGGTCAAGTAACCATCGAGAAAGTGTTGCGATTGTGTGGGGATGTTGAGATGATTTCTGAATGGGATGAGAATTGGAGCATGGACGAAGTCCGACTAGTCAGCTGGCGGTACTTGGAAGGGAGGAAAGAGTGAATTGGGGTCACGAAGTGATGAAAGAACTTTGTTGGATTTTTTCTGGCTCTTCATAACTGGTAACAACGCCGATTTTTCTAATTAAACAAGGCCTTATCGGGTCAGATTGTTTATACTGTTTCTTTGTAATTCCATATGAATTTTGCCGAATTTTGTCGTTGTGTTAAATTCCACAAATGCTGATAGTCGGAAAGCTGGGAAGAGGAAATCTGATAGGAGTAAGCGAATGGGTGGATGCTCTCGATGGACTCCAGGTTTTGGTGGACTATCTGCGCAAAAATTTGACAAATGTGGGCGAATGGCAAGTAGTGGATGTCGAATGGTACTCTACGCGACCAATTTGCGCGTTTAATATTGTCACACTGACCAAAACGTTCATTTCCGGATTGGGCTGTTCAGTACCGAGCTAACACGGGAAGACAATAGTGGTCGCGTGCATCATCTGGCCGGACAAGTTATTGCGTAGGCCAAATCTGCGCCGAAATCATTGATTTCATGAATGTACATGGCGCCCTTCAGGAGACACGAAGAGGTTTCAACTGTATTTGAAATAAAATGGGCCTCGCCGTTTCAAGTTTACTTTAGAAGGAAATCTTGAGGATAGAAAAATTCAAAGATGAAAAAAATGTCACAGCGGTCCGTCACATGCCATAAATATGTACGCTATAATAG